TTTTTGTGATTTAGTAGTACAAAAAATGGATATTAACACTACTCTGATCCTTTAGGATAAATGACTAGGAGTACATAAAAGTTAGTGAACATATTATTGGATTAATATTTTTTATTTATAATAGGTTGTTTTTACTTTACTTAAGAAAATGTTTAGTTATGTAAACTTATTGGTTTAATGGTTTTTTGTAATAGATAGTTTTTACTTTAGTTGAGAAGATGTTTAGTCATTATAAGCACGGTAAGTTCAGAGACAGGTTTTTCAGTTTTGTAGGTTTGTGAAGTTAGTGAGACAATCAGTGATAGTTAATATAAATAATCTTTTTACCCATTAAGTTGCTTAACACAATTCTGCCATTGTTTTTTGTTCTGCCTTTCTGTTCCAAATGATTGATTAAGTTGTTGTAGCTGAAATGAGGCCATCCCTGCAAATTTTTTGTGCATATATTTGCTATACAGATATGACTATATGTATGTATTTAAGTATGTCTTTTGAGAAGGAATGGCTTAGTAGATATGGCTGCAGCATTAGAATGGAAGACCATTTATATGGCAAAATGTCTGATATGAAAACCTAGCTTCTTATACCAGCTTAACAGAAAGTCAGATATCCCAGCCGAGTGCCTCAGACTCACCTGTCCCTCCTTCTGTCCCCCAGATCTCTTTGGGGGGAAAGCAAAGTCAGGATTAGCCTTGGACCTTGGGTGTGCAGCCATGGCAATCAAGGGAGAGAAAGTGGACACTAACCTTCCCCTCATGAAGCAAGGGTAAGACTGGATTACAGGTTGGGGATAATCTACTTATCGTAATTAATGTCTGTGGAGAGCACAGACTATATGTAAATCTATTTTTCTTGTTTGTGTATCTGTTTAGCTCTCTTATCTGTTTATGCATTTGTTGTTTGATTCTTATGTCTGTCTGTTTATATGCACATGGACATTTTATGTGCGAGAAGTAATGGTTTCTGTTGAGTATGTAGTACATTTCACACTGAAAGCAAATTTGAATGATTTTGTCAAAATAAATTTTTGCTGGGCTGTTCTGTTTTTCTACTGATCACAAATGGGCTGTTCTGTTTTTCTACTGATCACAAATCTATGTACCTTTTATGTTGAATATCATAGAGTGTGGGCCAGAAGTTACTACATATCCTTTTTTTTTCAAGTTATGGAATGATCTTTGTAGTTAGGTAGTCAATATATGGGTATATTAGAACTGTAACCCGTTGACTTTGGGAGTTTATATACACCTGCATTTTCCACTGTGGTCTAGTTTTATTGTATGCATTTATATTAAAATGGCCCCAGAAGTACTCAGTCCCCAAGTATTGGGACTACTAGAGCCATATTACCCTATTCCTGGAATTTTCTGACGGAAAAATTAGTATTTTTGTTACTGTTATTAGTTAATAATGTTATGATAATGATGTTCATAATGATAACGATGGTAATAGAAATGGCAACTGTTATACACTGAAAATCAACACTGGGGTAAACAGGTGAGATCAGGTAGGCTTACTAATTAACTGCTTGGTGACTTAGGTGCTTGTGGAGCCACGTATGTGTAAGCAACATTGATGATACAGAACCAGTGAAAGTAAGCCGAAGTCAATGGATTAACGACCAACTATCCTGGATAAATCTTGGCACTTATTCATTGTTATTATTCATGAATATTTATGTGACCTTTGCATTACATATAGTATACAGTTAATTTTAAGTTTTAATGGGATTTTGTACTTTGTTATTTCCAGATGGTACCACGGTGCATTAAACAGGACAGAAGCTGAAGAAACACTCAGGTCGTGCTCTGAAGGCAGTTACCTGGTGCGCTCACTTGATGTGTCTAGACATGAGTACTCTCTTGCTCTGAAGTAAGTGTTAGGAAGGGTTAATTCTGTGTTACTAATGAACATGCTGACTGCTAGAAAATATCAACTAGCTGAAAAGAGAGGAAAGTTCAGGTTTGAGTTTATGTATTATCTTGTGCAGCTTTGGATAAAGTATATAGTGTGTTTGACTAAGATATTTATAGCAGTATTTTAGACACAACATTTTTTTTTTTCTTTTATACAAGTTAATTATCAATAGGGAAAAAGCTTGCTAACCAAAATTAAGAAATATTATGTTAGCTTTATCATTGGTGATAATTAAAGGATGCTAAGCCACCAAGCATAATATGTATCTGAAAAAGTTTAAATGCTATTTATGCTGTAAATAACTGTTTATAGTTTACTTGATAGCAATATTTCTCAATATATTGTAAATATATAAATAATTACAAGTAGATATTGTATAAGCACAAACATGGAAATGTTATTAACTACTTTATATTTTTATGATTAGTAGACTCTCGTCTGTAGCTTGTAGGATGACCAATGTGTCTCCAAAAGGTTTTACTCATAGAATTGATTCATGGATCTACTGAAGGAAGCTGGAGATTTTGAAGTTGCTGTGAACTCATAGATTTACTGTGAATTTCTTATCCCTCTTATTTTCAGAAATAAAGAAAAAAAAATCAGTGCATCACAGGATTTTTTTACCTGCTTCACTGTGGCAGGGTGGATATTGCACATCAGATTTTAGCTCTTTTTACAGTCTACAGTTTATCCATCTCTGCCACAGAGAGCCTTTGAATGCAATTTGATGATTTTCCTGTATAGAGAAATAAGAAGTATGGAAACAAAAAAAGAAATGTAGAGAAGAGGGCCAGGGATAAGTGGTGGGGTTTGATGGTGAATCTGAAACCTGTTGTTGATGAATGGCCACAGTATCCCATAGTGGTAGAGTGAGAATTAGGTTGACACCAAGGTAGGCTGTAGACCTTTACATCTGTTTTATTATACTTTATTATTCCTTTGGTATTTCTTTGTGGTTATCTTGTGTAAAGTGAAGACATGTATATGAAAGAGAGAACAATATACAATTTTCTTCAAGGGGAATTAAATGGGATTTACCAGAGCTGCATAACCTGATTTCATTATTTGTTTAATTTATTAAATTTACCTAATTTGATGTGTATCTGTTATGTTTAGGGAATGCAAATTTTATTTTTTGTTAAGCATTGACCTGATGCATTTGTAGGACTTAGTTAAACAAACTTGCAAATTTGTAAACAAACTTGGAACAGGCAGAGTAGGTTTTGCTCACATCAGTATGAACACCCAGACCCACTGCTACTCATGTATTTACAATCACACACCCACATACCCACACAGCACACGTGTATATAAATTTTTTTTTTTCTTCGCCATATGCTGCCTTTCCTTTTTGTTTTCGTTGCAGCTCTCTCATTTACCATTTACTGCTTCAGGTCTGCTCGTGGCTTTATGCACCTGAGGATTCAGTTTGACTGCAAGACGGGCGGGTACATGCTCGGCCGTGGCACCAAGCAGTTCCCCACGGTGCCCCACATGATCCACCACCACAGCATCTTCAGATTGCCCATCAAAGGTGCTGAACACATGGTCCTCCTCCATCCCGTGAGTCACGAGACCCTATAGTTGCCACGCGGAGGAACGCCTACTGTTGTTGGAAAGATACCCGTGACCTTCTACCATCTCTGAGAGAAGAAAAAAAGCTTCCAGTTTGTTTCCTAGTCAACCTTTTCCAGTGCCCCCAAACTCCTCCTCAGAAGCATGATCATTCGAGGTCCTGTAGAATTTGTTGGTTCGGTTGTAGGGTGTAGTCAGTGGTAAAAACCTTTGAAGTTGCGCAAGGGTTGGTGAGCGTGTCGGAGGGACAAAGAAAATTTAGTGTGCTACGATAAGGTTTAGATTACTGATTACTGCAGTCTATTTTATTCCATATCCTGTTGCTAATTTTTTGCTAGACTCTATGAATCTTCCATGATATATACTGCTAGTCGTTTTCCTAGTCATTATTCTAGAACAATATTCTTGTTTATCCAAGATCCTTTACTCCTGAAAAAGTTCTCTTGTGAACTCTTTACTTAGACCCTCAAGCCAAGATGAAGTAAAAAAGATTTAGCACTTTTCACTTTAAAAAGGTTGTCGTTTAACCGAAGTGGCATCTCTGTCATTTATACTGAGACCCAAGTTGCAGTACATAAACACACAAAGATATTCTCCATCTCTCTCAGCCATAACTCTGAATATTCCACAGCAAACATTCCACCATAAGTAATTAATGGTTTAATCTAGTACAAAATACCTTTGAATACTTTGGCTGTCCAATAATAACTTTGATGGCTGAAATTTCTTCTAAGTTATGAGGGGACAGCTTATATTTTGTCCACATACATTCCTCAGTACATGATGCTGCTATACTATAGTTGCCTAATATATTGCTAGTTTAGGGATTTGCAATGGGAACTGTATCATAATTTATTTCCTCTTTTTTTTTTCTTTTTGATATGTACATATATTCAGGTGTGAGTTGCGCAACAAAGAAGAGCGCAAATGAGATATAGATTCCAAGAGGCACATGTTCGACAAAGAATATCTCTCAGGTTAGAACCAGGATCAAGGATTCGCTTGAATGTGCAGGCAGCTTTGTGCCAACACTTAATTTTGACTCATTAAGGTTGTCATTGTGTTTTGGGGAGAACGAGATCTCACAACCTGCTGCTTAAAATTTGGCCTTATTGTTAAATGTACACGGCAAACTACACTTCGTTTTGCCAGATCATTGCATGTAAGTAACTGGATTTGTAATTTTTAACCTATTTTTCTCACAATGAAATGCATAGGGTGTTCACAAGACGTTTGTAGTATAATAATCTCAGTTGATGTACAGTATTAATATGAGCATTGCTGACTCTCTTCCAACGTTAGTGCCAAAGTTGTGAGTTCAGGGAATAAATATGGTTTTGCAGTGAAAATAAACATTATGTATAAAAATTTTTGTTAGGAAATAATATGTATATATTTCATACCTTAATACATCACACAAGAATTTAGTTCAGGTTGATTACAAATACTGAATAGTTCTTTGAGTTAGGGAGGGTTGTATATTGAACCTTATGCATGGAACATGTCTATATATACTCCACACGTAGTTACTGAAACCATAGATGGATATTTTGATTTGTTTCATAGAATCCATACATTACAAATTGTATACCATATCAACACTAGCCAGACTGCTAGGCTAGTGAGTCCCTACCAAATGTAGCTCGATCTTGTCATGTCTTGAAGATCATGAGGCGTCACCTGTGAAGGTGGTAGCTGCTAATTATATCAATGACATCAGCAAAATTTGTTATATGAAATTAAAGAAAAAGACTGTATGGTTGCATGAATTTGAAAAAGAAAAAAAAAATTGCATCCGACGAATGTAGAAACTGCGGTGTTTGTAGGACAATCAGTATGATATCCTTGTATTGGGAAGATTTGAAAAAAGCCGTAGAAGTACATAGGCCATATGATTATATTTTAGCCTCTTAAGTGAAAAGAAAGACTTAAAAAAAAAAAAAAAAAATCTTAAAAAACCCAAAAAATTAGAGATAATATACAAGTAGTTCTATCTATGATTATGCTTCCAGTTATTCAAAATTAGCTGAAGTATTGTACTGTAGTCCAGAGATGCAATAAACGAGCGTCCATCCATGTCTTCGCCGCTGCTATCATACAGTCGTGATTAATCCCTCCATTCCCTCTCCCTCCTCCCAGTGTAGGCGCTGGTGGCCGAGAATTTTGCTTGACAACTTTGCTGGGTATCTGGAAAAAAGCTCTTATTTCCAATGCTGTCTTGTCTCCTTAATTGGTATCGGAGTTGGAAGTTTTGGTGATGATTATTGTTGCTACTATTTTTCTTTTTTTTTGTCTTTTTAGATTTTTTTTTTATGGTTTTATGTGGTTCAGAAAGAATTTTATATTTTTTGGTTTTGTTTTGGTGCTCTGTGGAGATTATTGTATTTCTGAACGATTTCTTTGTGTCATCAAGGTAAAAGTTTTCTGTTTGGTGATGCAAAGCTTTTTGAAAATTTGATAATGGTGTTTCTCTTATTCATTCTTAGAACAAATTTATTCAAGGTGCAGCATTATTACTCTCTTTCATTTTGACCTTTATCAACAGTAGTCCTATGGAACTACCTCTTAATATACCCGGGCTTAGAAAGTTTGATCATTGGTGATAAAAAGGCAAAGTTCTTCCTGCCATTAGTAGGATACAGTAGTCGAGACCTCGTAAAAAGGTCGGTGTTAAGCTCTAGTTAGATAGATAGTACCGAGTAGTGGCCATCCATATGTTACGTTTCCGCACTTCCTTCATTTTCCTCTCCCTGGTGTAATCCCCCTTTTCCTTGTAATCAGAAATGGTGTATTGGGCCTACAGTAGTAATCCTGGTAATCCATTTCACACGGTAATAGAGAATGGTTTCCGTAAATGTCTGTTTTTTTTTTTTTGTGGAGAAAACGAGTGGGAAAGCCCCTCTCGTTTCAATGTTCTTTCTCTCTTTTTTTTTTCTTTTTTGCTCCAACCTGTAGAACACTTGCTAGCTGGTAGTCATTTATCAAGGGACTCATGAGCTCTTTGCTATTACTAATTGTTTTTTTTCATGGATGATTGCCTCAGATTTCATAGGAACCTCTTTCAGAGTTGCCAGATGCCTTGTATGCATAGATTTCCCTGAAAATGATGACACTGTAGTCCTGTTAATGAATATGCTCACAAACATTCACAGATATGTGTAGATACACTCAAATGCTCACACATCTTGTGGTATACTTTTAAAACACACACACACACACACACACACACACACACACACACACACACACACACACACACACACACACACACACACACACACACACACACACACACACACACATACACACACACACACACATACACAGAGCTGCAAAAATTTAAAGAAATAGATGCACAAATTCAAAAAAGGCACACTTGTGAAAAACATATATACACAAAGATCCACACACTATACATACACAGCCATGCCCACCTATACTCGCACTGACACCCACAAACAAAGCACCTCTTTGTTGACAGTAAACAGGCCATTTCACTCATCATTGTTAACTGTGAATTCCAAAGACCTAGAAGTAAGTGTTGGATTTCCTGTTTTTAGATTTCTCGTCTTTTTTAAAAGTTATCCAATTTTTGGAGTATTCTCCCCTCCCCCAATCCATTTGACTCTATAGTGTTTGTAATGTCATCACAAATGGGTGACAAGTTATTCACAGTCCCCTTTGCTTGACCAAAATTTGGTCTTTCTCCTGTTTCACATTTATAGGTATTAGTTTGATAATAAAAACGGATGATTATTCAATGGCTGGAATCACATTTGATTGCAAAGACTCCACTAAATGTGAATTTCACATCACCGAGGTTTCCTGAATAATGGTGTAATCCGCCCATAATAGTAATGGGATATTTTTAAAAAGATTTTTACAGACATATTGAAACGGATAATATTTTGAACTAAGCTCTTATTTATTTTTATGCATTTAATATCATCAGAAGACTGAACTATATACTCTTACAGCAAAATGCTCAGTGGAACTGGTCGTAGAAAACAAGTACACAAGAAGTGAGGTTTTGTTAAGGTAGCATATATAATAAATAACTGTAAGGGATGACGTAGCTTAAAAAAAAAAAAAAACTGTCAGTGCAAGATTTAGTGTACGCGATTCTCAGAGTATCATAGGCTGAAGTCGTAGGCCCAGTGGCAGTGCGAGAGTGACGATGTAGATCAGAAGTGCTTTTAAATGGCTGCTATGAGGCTTAAAGAAAGATTAGACTTTGATTAGTTTTTTGAGAGAGAGTGTTAGTTACAGAGTAATTGCAGTGTTGCTCATATCAGGAAACTTTATATTCTATTCAATTATTTGATGTTGTCATTGATTTTATTTTCTTTATTTATTAAAGAGAAAAGTATTCTTCAATGAGTAATCTCAAGATTTTTGCAAAAGCAGTGTTCATGTGCATTTTTTTTTTTTAGCACTATTTTCCATTAATATTTGGGTATTGTATATTGAGGTGCATGTACTTAAAGAAAACCAGTTATATTTATAGATACATTCCATGGATATTAGAGTGTAATGGTTTCACCACGTTAAAGAAAACAAAACAAAAATTAGAAAGACGGTTGAGTGCTGTGTGTACAAGACAGTTATACAGTACATTGTATACCAATAATAACTTCAGTATTATCACATTTACTCTTGATTTGAAATATGTATCTTACAGTGAATAAGATGACATTCTACATACAAAACAAACAGAAGCTAGAAAGAAACAGAGTTAAAAGCTTGAAAAAGAAACCATATTTTGATTTACCGATACCTAAGAGATTAATGAATGTTTTTTTTTTAGCCTTAGAGATTCTACACAATGGATCATCCTTTGTGACCAAAACTTAATTACAGATTTGTGTGCAAAGTATTGTGTATCTGTGTCTTCATGTGAATTAGTCATGTATGAGATTCCCCTTTTTTTTTGTGAGTCCTGTTGTTTTACCGGTAGTCTTTTCTGGGAGAGACTTTGTGCAATCACATTGATTGTTTTGGCCTTCGGGAGAAAGAAGTAACTGTGAATGTAGAGAAAGTCGTCTGGCAGGTGTAAGTGTGGGTCTGTTTCAGGGGGACTGAGAGATTTATGATGTTTTATTCCATTTTTTATATTGAATTTGAGAAATAAATTGGGATTATTAGTGTTTTAAAAATACAATTTAATGAGTAGTAAGACTATGTGCTACATTTATATTGATTGATAAGTGATATAACTGGACATGTAGGTATGTGATTTTATATGTGTGTATTAAGAGTTAAATAATCAGTATCTTTCAGGTGATGGTATTGTTGATCCAGAAACTTCAGCAAAATCAATTTATAAAGTTACTGTGCAAATCACCTAGCACATAAATCAGACTATATGTGATTTCACTTTAATTTTGATATGTCACTTAACAGCCTGCCAGGAAACAGTCCCAATGAAATATTAATAAAGAATGTTCAGAAATATTACAAATGCCATTTAACAGCTGACACAATATAATAAAAAATAATACTTAAAAAACACAAATTCTTTCAGAGGGTTATACTGGGAAGGAGCATAAACAATTATCATTTTTTTAATGAAATGGTTAATACAATATTTTGCTTTGGCGAGCATCTTTGTATTTTGCAAGTTCAATTACCAGGGAGAAGTGTAATGCAATTAAGTGTCAGATAAGTCAGATAATATTTGTGTGCATGTTTGTATGTGTGAGACCCAAATATTGCCAAAAGGTTGTACATAGTTTAGATATATGATATTTAAATGAAAGTATTTGAGTTCCTTCCTTTCAGAGGGTATTTTGTGTTATACATATAATATGTTGTCAAATACATTACTCTTATAATATTTTTGGCAGTTTAAACATTTAGAATAGTATGTATACAGTTGTATGTATATAGTAGAGAAAATAGGGCAGTTCATCATGTAAATATAGATTAGAAATGATTTTCATAAACATATCAGAGTAGGTGTCTGCAATTTGGACTACACAAAAGGTTTAAAACATTCCGAAAACTGCAGTTGTGAGAGCTTACATTTGTCACATTCTGCAACAAAAACAAAGGGTTGAGACTCTGTACTAGGTAAATTACAAGACAAAACAAAAAACAAAAAAAACAGACCCTCTGATAATTCGTTTGAGGAGAGTGTTATAAATTATGCTTATTCCAGACTCTTGGTTGGAGAGTGTTTCTTCGTGAAAGAATTTAGCTTGAAAAACTGGTCATGACACTTCTTTACATATTGTATATTTTGAACCATTACGAAGACACTTGAGGAATGTCTGTCTGCACTAAACAAGGTATTGATGAAAATTCTTTCTTTTTTTTTTTTTTTTTTTTTTTTTTTTAGCACTATTTTCCATTAATATTTGGGTATTGTATATTGAGGTGCATGTACTTAAAGAAAACCAGTTATATTTATAGATACATTCCATGGATATTAGAGTGTAATGGTTTCACCACGTTAAAGAAAACAAAACAAAAATTAGAAAGACGGTTGAGTGCTGTGTGTACAAGACAGTTATACAGTACATTGTATACCAATAATAACTTCAGTATTATCACATTTACTCTTGATTTGAAATATGTATCTTACAGTGAATAAGATGACATTCTACATACAAAACAAACAGAAGCTTAGAAAGAAACAGAGTTAAAAGCTTGAAAAAGAAACCATATTTTGATTTACCGATACCTAAAGAGATTAATGAATGTTTTTTTTTTAGCCTTAGAGATTCTACACAATGGATCATCCTTTGTGACCAAAACTTAATTACAGATTTGTGTGCAAAGTATTGTGTATCTGTGTCTTCATGTGAATTAGTCATGTATGAGATTCCCCTTTTTTTTGTGAGTCCTGTTGTTTTACCGGTAGTCTTTTCTGGGAGAGACTTTGTGCAATCACATTGATTGTTTTGGCCTTCGGGAGAAAGAAGTAACTGTGAATGTAGAGAAAGTCGTCTGGCAGGTGTAATGTGGGTCTGTTTCAGGGGGACTGAGAGATTTATGATGTTTTATTCCATTTTTTATATTGAATTTGAGAAATAAATTGGGATTATTAGTGTTTTAAAAATACAATTTAATGAGTAGTAAGACTATGTGCTACATTTATATTGATTGATAAGTGATATAACTGGACATGTAGGTATGTGATTTTATATGTGTGTATTAAGAGTTAAATAATCAGTATCTTTCAGGTGATGGTATTGTTGATCCAGAAACTTCAGCAAAATCAATTTATAAAGTTACTGTGCAAATCACCTAGCACATAAATCAGACTATATGTGATTTCACTTTAATTTTGATATGTCACTTAACAGCCTGCCAGGAAACAGTCCCAATGAAATATTAATAAAGAATGTTCAGAAATATTACAAATGCCATTTAACAGCTGACACAATATAATAAAAAATAATACTTAAAAAACACAAATTCTTTCAGAGGGTTATACTGGGAAGGAGCATAAACAATTATCATTTTTTTAATGAAATGGTTAATACAATATTTTGCTTTGGCGAGCATCTTTGTATTTTGCAAGTTCAATTACCAGGGAGAAGTGTAATGCAATTAAGTGTCAGATAAGTCAGATAATATTTGTGTGCATGTTTGTATGTGTGAGACCCAAATATTGCCAAAAGGTTGTACATAGTTTAGATATATGATATTTAAATGAAAGTATTTGAGTTCCTTCCTTTCAGAGGGTATTTTGTGTTATACATATAATATGTTGTCAAATACATTACTCTTATAATATTTTTGGCAGTTTAAACATTTAGAATAGTATGTATACAGTTGTATGTATATAGTAGAGAAAATAGGGCAGTTCATCATGTAAATATAGATTAGAAATGATTTTCATAAACATATCAGAGTAGGTGTCTGCAATTTGGACTACACAAAAGGTTTAAAACATTCCGAAAACTGCAGTTGTGAGAGCTTACATTTGTCACATTCTGCAACAAAAACAAAGGGTTGAGACTCTGTACTAGGTAAATTACAAGACAAAACAAAAAACAAAAAAAACAGACCCTCTGATAATTCGTTTGAGGAGAGTGTTATAAATTATGCTTATTCCAGACTCTTGGTTGGAGAGTGTTTCTTCGTGAAAGAATTTAGCTCGAAAAACTGGTCATGACACTTCTTTACATATTGTATATTTTGAACCATTACGAAGACACTTGAGGAATGTCTGTCTGCGCTAAACAAGGTATTGATGAAAATTCTTTCTTTTTTTTATATATGTATTCTTGGAAGAAGTTGTTGGTTTGAAAAGTGAGAATTAGAGGGAAGACCTAGTGGATTCCGTAACAGTTTTTTCCGATATAGAC